ATTTGCCACAAAGGAAAGGAGGAAGATTTTGGCTGGTGCAGAGATTACTGGGCTGGTCTCACTCTGGTACGGAGAAGTTTGGTTTAAGAGGCTTTGACCCACAGGATGCTCATATTTCTTTGCCTTCTTGACAAGGTGGAAGGCAGTGGAAATGGTGGCTATGTTCTTATGAAAATACAACCTTGGGTAAATTACAGGATTACCCAGAATCACAGATTTAGATATGAGAAGCCATCAAGCCCAACTGTAATTTTACAGATGAGGAAGCTGAGCCAAAAAAAAGTGAATTGACTCACCCAGTTAGTAAATGTCTGAAATAGGATTTGAACTCAGGACCTAGATTAAGATCTTAGTTCAGCTACTTGGTCCATATGTGGTTTGGGGCAAATTACTTTACTCCTTTGGACCCCAGTAAACTGAAATAGTTAGACTGGCTGCCTCTAGAATCACCTCATTTTGTCTCCTAGTGGGAAGAGCTACGAATCAGGAAGTGAGAGGACCCAGGTTCAGCTGCAGCCTCTGGGATGCTGAACAAATGACTTCACCTCTATTTGCTCACCTGTATGGGAGCAGGTTGGCTTCAAAGCTGTAAGGAGGATGAAATCATCAATTAATCAATCAGCAAACATTTACTATGTGGTAAGAAATGTGTTAAGCACTGGGGACATAGGTTGACCTCAAGGACTCTAATGGGGGAAGATGGTATATCTGTTGTTCACACAAGATACACACAGTATGGTGACAGCATCAAGCCATGGGGGAGGACCAGGAAAGGCCTCCCGCAGAAGGTGAGCTGAGTGTGGAAGGACCTCAGGGATTCTAAGGGGGGAGGGAATAGGGGAAGCATGCAGACACACAAGGAGGACTCGGCCCAGCCCAGCCATGCCTTCTCATCCGCCATGACTTGTCCATGCTCCTCCACAGGCCCTCCACAAAGGGCTACCCACCATGCTGGAGGCCTTCCTCTTGTTCTTCCTACGTCTTGGAATGGACTGATGCAATACTTGGCCCTTCTGGCTTGCATGTCTTGTTTTCATCATGACCAACTCCCATCAAAGTGAAACTAAGGTTGAGAAACTTGGTATCCAGGAATAGCCTGACTCATCACAGTGTCAATGAGAAATGCCGGACTGGGGGAAAGCATCTGACCGCTCAAGCCTATTCACCACATTTGGGCCGGTTTTTCCTCCGGTTGTCCCCAGGTGAAAGGAAAAACCCCAAGCTGAAGCCTCACTGAATTTCACACCTGGGGCCCAATATGATATATAATAAAATAGTTGGAGATCTTTTGCAAGTGAAAAATCACAGATGTATGATCTGTCCTCCAGCATTGGTCAGGAGAGAGGAAATAAACAGGCTTTTAAAATAAACCTGACTCCCTCCCCAGTCCGGATGGCCAACAAATATTGGTCCATCTGCCACAAGCGTTCACACCAGGGATTCATTGATTCAATAACACCCTCCCGTAAGGTGGTGGCGGTTTTAGTGTGCCTGTTGGCTTGTTTGCTTTCCTGCTTTCCATGTTGTGGCCACCTGTGAGCAAGCCTGTGAAGCCAAAGGTCCTTCTGGACCTTTCTGGCCTGCTGGCCCATAAGGTGTCGAATGTGGAAGGCTTAAATCACAGTGGGGCCTACCATTCATAGCAGTGCCCTCCAAACAGAGCTGGAGACAGGAATCCGTCCCCTGGGCCAAGCAGCACAAAACAGACCCTCCAATCAACTTTCGAGACACACATAATTGCAGAAGGGAGCTAGGAATATGACAAAGCACCTGCTCAGGAGGCCACTGGGGGAAGGGACAAATGAGGGCCAGGGAGATGCTTACCAGGGATTCGGTCATCTGTCTAACCAGCCCTCCTTCCCCTAGTGTGTCATATACCCTCTAAATTTCTTCTCTCTGGGACAAAGGCCTGAGCTCCCTGCCCTAGTTACAGCTCTGGTCCTAACTACAGAAGGGCAGACACTAAACGCCTTTGACTATTCCCAGACTCCTCCAAAGACCAGTCATTCCCATTGTGACACTGATGTTCATTCTACAGTATCTCCTCTGTGTGCAGACCAGAGCGTGTTCTGGCCGCTTTCTGCCAATGAGATGCCTGTGATCATCTCACCACCTTGAGGGATGGGCACAGGTAGAGATGTCCTGCACCTTTTCCACCTTGGGTTCCCTGGGGTTCTTTCACATAAGACACCAGCCTGTGGAGCAATATTCCTCCTTCTGGGCCCCCAAAGACCAGCAGCCCCTGCCAGGCTATAGCCACGCCTCTGGAATGTCACCACCATTTCATTAAATGAAATCAGAATGGCTGCCAGAGTGGCCAATTCATTTTATGTCTCCAAGTCGTCATAACTTATTTTACAAAGCAACCGGCTCACAGCAATCCCAGCTGGAAGGTCCCCTGGAAACAGCTGAAAAGAAGGGAGACAAGTCAGGGGGCCAATTGCAGGATGACTTTGGGCATAGGTGGGGTCAGAGGCCCGAGAGTCCCCAGGGCTTCTCTGCTTATTAAGGAGGGACTGGAAACACACCGATAGCAAGAAGCAACTTGTCATCGTGGGGAAAGGATTGGCCTTGAAGAAAGAAACACCCAGGTTCGAGTCCTGCCCCTGACTCACACGGCTGTGTGGCCCTGGGCAGGTCACTCAGTGGTCACTCTGTGGTCCAGGTGGTTCTGTTTAGATGATGTTGAAGAGAAAGTGTTGATCTGCATTAATAGAAAAGACTCCTCACCCAGAGGGCCTTACAGCAATGAGAGCATGGGTCTGGTTTAGAGACAGACAGACAGACAGACAGACAGACAGACAGACAGAGACAGAGAGACAGAAACAGAGAAAGAGACAGAGAGACAGAGACAAAGACAGAGAGAGAGAGAGAGAGAAAGACAGACAGAGACAGAGACAGAGGAGAGAGGGAGAGACAGAGGGAGACAGACAGAGACAGGGAAGCAGAAAGAGGGAGAAACAGAGATAGAAAAGGATAGAGACTGAGAGAGGAAGGGAGAAAATGAGAGACAGACAGAGAGGAGAGGAGAAAAGGGGGACAGACAGATAGAAGAGAGAGAAAGAGGAAGAGATAGAGAGAGGTCATAACTTTGAAGTTTTGAAGTTAAAATAGATTTGAAGTCAAAAGGGACCTTCCTGGTCATCGAGTACAAACCTCTCATTTTATAAATGAAAAAACTGAGGCCTGGAGAAATTAAGTGACTTCTCCAAGGTCACACAGGTAGTGAAGTGATACGTAAGATCCCATTTACACTTTTAAATGTGCATTAGGCAAAATAAGAAAACCCAACAACTCTTGTCTGATCTCTCAGATACCGATGCCAAGCTTCTAAGACAGTTTAGCCCAGGATTTACTATTCTATGGGTCCTAGAGGTCAAAAAGCAGGACAAAACCTATTTCTGACCACTTCCTCCACTCTGAGTCCTTTCAGGCCCCAAACTAACCCAGTGAAATCTTCTCTGTGAAAGGTCATATTTATTTTTCAGTCTTCTGGAGACAAACTGAAGTCTCAGCTTCTACCATCAACTCAGCCCTCGGGACAGAGAGAATCCATCTTCCTCATCTCCCTGATAGGTATGGGCACGCCTACTTCCAGTGAAGATAAGAGCAAAGATTTATTTTGAGCTAAATCAGCAACTGCTTGGTTGGAGTAAGATTTCTTGTCTCTGTGTTTTGAGAAAGCTATTTAACGTTCCACTGGGAACAATCGGGTTTATTGCCCTGAGTTCACTATGCCCAGTTGGCACGTCAGTCACAGAACTTGAGAAAGTTGGCCAAGATATGGAGGCTTTTAAATGAGGTGAAACTCAATTCCTGGAAGAGAAATCCCAAATGTCTGTGCCCCGGTTCCCAAATACTGGTCTGCCCCAGAGTCCTGAGGTCTCAGAGTTAGCTGGACGATGAATTAAGCTGCACATTGGCATTGATTTCCCGAAAGGAGAGCTAAATGATATAGGACAATGAAAACAGCAGACTCTGGGAGTCAGAAGAGGGCATCTTGAGCCCCAGGTATGACACCTCCTATTGTAGCTATATGACTTTGTCGATCACCCAAATACTCTGAGCCTTTGTTTGCCTCATCCGTAAAATGGCCACAATGATAGGGTTGTTGGGAGGATGCTCCTTGCTCAAATGCCAACTTTTTAGTCTGACATTTAAAGCCTTTTATAATCTGACTCTGGTCACCATTAGCAAGATCATTGCCCATGATTCCTATGGTGCACCCTGTGTTCCAACCCAACTGTCCTCCATGTTCCTTGTCCACAGCATTCCATTTCCAGTCCCTATGTTCTCATTAAGCTCTTCTCCAGGACTGTAATGCCCTCTCCCTCACATGTGCCTCTTAAAATCCCTAGCTTCCTTCCCAGCTCACCTCAAGCACCATCTCCTGTGTGTTTCCTGAATACCCCAGATGTGAGGACCTTCTTCGTCCTACCGAGATGACCTCATTTTGAAGAAGCTCAACCATAGGTTATCCATGTGAAATTTCTGGCCATAGAAACTCTCCAAAAGAGGTCCCCAAGTAAGCTTGTGTTCCCACACTTTTACCCCCAACCTTCCACTCCCTCCTGTGTTCATATCCATGAGGCATTGCATGTTAGACATATATTTCTCTACGTGTGTTGTCAGATACATATATCTACACGTACCTGAATGGCTAATGCAGAGACACACCATTCCCATGGAGGTATGGATACTACTTCTGGAATTTGCCCCCCCCACAAGAAGGGAGACAGCAGCTTCTGCCTCAAGGGGAGTCAGCGAAGGTCCGTGGCCAAGCACTTGCTCCTTCCCTCAACTATTTCTGAGAAAGGTACAGCCCTAGAATTATATCAGTCTTCCACTCTTAAATACTGCTGGTCTAGAAAAACTGCTTCCCTGGTCACTAGCCCTTCGCTTAAGAGGGGAGGGTAGCCCCAAGCTTATATCTGTCAGTTTGGATGCTTTCCAACAAATGATAACTAGACAAAAGACCATCACAAATAGCAGACAGAGAGTAAATCCATTTATCCAAACAAACAACAAACAGAAATCAAAGTTACTCAGAATATTCATGAGAGTTAACTTTAGATGTCCTCTTTAGATGAGGGTAAGATGAGATCTCAGCTCAAACCAGGGAAAACTCCCTAATCTCGCCAAAGGAAAAGAATCTGAAGTCTCTAGGGAGGTAAGCTAGAAACCAGGGACACGTCGAGAATCCAACTTCTCCTACAGGGTTGTAATCTCCAAAGTCTTCTTTCTCTCCCAAAGAACGTGAAGAAGCTCTGGCTCTCACTCCACTGTATAGACCTCTTGCAAGGACCACAGAGCAGCATCAGCCTTCTTTCCACCTACCAGGAGTCCCTCTGCAAACAGAGCAATATACAAAGCTTCTCAGTTATGTAAGTTGTAGCGACTTCTATTAGCATGTGAATGTTTCCCCTTATAGAATGTAAACTTCCTGAGAGTAGGACTTAATTTTCATCTTTGTATCTCCAGTACTTACCGCAGTGTCTGGAACATAGTAGACACTTAATAGCTATTGATTATTTGATAGTAATGCCAGCTATTTGCAGGTAGGTGGCGCTATGGATAGAGTGCTTGGCCTGGAGTCAGGAAGACTCATTTTCCAGAATTCAAATCTGGCCCCAGACACTTACTAGCTGGATGACCCTGGGCAAGTCACTCAGCCCTGTTTGCCTCAATTTCCTCATCTGTAAAATGAGCTGAAGAAGGAAATGTAAACCGCTTCAGTCCCTTTGCCAAGAAAACCCCAAATGGGGCCACAGAGAGTGAGACCCAACAAATTTGTTTTCTACTTATTCTGTATGTATTTTGTGTTCATGAATCTGTATATGTGTTGTATCTCTCAGTAGAATGTAAACCCCCTGAGGGCAGGTACTATTGTCATTTTTGTCTTGGTATTCTCAGCACCCAGAAAAGGGTCAGGTTCACAGTAGGTGCTAAACCAATGTTTGTTCCATTTGGTGGCCAAAAGGGCCCAATGTAAATGTGGCAGAGTCAGCACACACAATTACCTCTTCCATGGAATTCCTCCCTCAATAGCTCAGGTCAGGCACATGTTGGCTGCTCATGGAAAAGCTTGCCTCCCCAAAGTGTTGTATCCATGGAGGACATTAAGCCTCTCGTCTGAGCCCGTGGTGGTAAAACATATTTAAATATAAGCACGTATTTTATTATAAAGCCAGTGGGTTGGGTGTTCATTCCCCCAGTTGACTTGGATACCAGTGCTGAGCTGAGACCTGGGGGCTGCCTGATTCACGCCTAGTTTGTTTTTCTATTCAATCCATTTTCAGTGCAAAGGAGACATAAGCAGCGAAACCCATATCATTTTATTGGATCCGATGCACCGCCAGTAAAACAAATATCTGTACACTCAGACCAATACACTTTTATTAAAACAAATAGAATTTAATTCAAACCAGCATCCAATACGTGGTTTGGAGTTTTTTTCAGTGCAATGAAATTAAAGTCTACCAATACTTCTGCTCAATACATTTTCCCAATCAGATCCATTTGGCCAAAGTGAAATATATTTATCATAGGTAACACATTTTTATTAAAAACAAATTTACTGAAACTGTTTCCCTTTAAACCAATAGATAGTCATTCCAGTCAGTTGCAGAATTAGATCATAGAAACTGATGTATTTCTACCAGAGCCAAAAGCATTTCCATTCAGGCCCACTTCGAAACAAACTAATGAATAATAGAGGAGAATAGCTGCCAAAGTCATGTCTTCCATGAAGCATCCTTACAAAAGCACTGTCGTTTTTGGACAGACCATAAAGATGCACATTCTAGAAACAAAATGTCCTTTAACAAAACTAGAGATCGTGCCCTGAATATGGTGATCAAGGCGGTCTGGCAAATGTTTAGCAACCAACTGTCTGAGGGAAAGATGTATGTAGGACACATGGGAGTTTAATATGCATTTAACATTTTCTCCATCACTTTCTTAAATCAAAACAATTAACAAAACAGGAAACCAAGCCCTGGTTTGTAGCACTTACTGATTTCTACTATGTAAATACTCCTACCGAAAATGTAATAATCAGCTCTCCCATCCTGGTTTGTCGTGATAAGGTATTAATGAAGCCATCCAAAATCCAATGCCTCATGGATACAGACGCACAGGAGAGAGGAGAAGGATGGGGGTAAAAGTGTGGGAACACAAGCTTACTTGTGAGAGTTTCTATGGCCAGAAATTTCACATGGATAATCTGTGGTTGAGCTTCTTCAAAATTAGCAAGGCTGAGTCCCTTTAAACAGAAGACAAGCATTAATCTTTCACCACTTACTCAGGCACATTCTAGCCTGGAGGGAACCGAGCTATAACTAATAATTTTTGTGCCTAAGAGAAAAGAAGAACAATGCAGCATGAGGGGAAGAAAACAGGCTTGGCCTGATATATCATAAGGTTCTACGTTACTCAAGAGTTAGTCACTGATGGGAAAAAAGTAGGGGTGGACTAAGAGCTGATAGTGCAGACACCAGGAGGACAAAGTATGCCCCAGGATGGTATTGTCAGTGGAACTGTGGGGCAAAATCCCAGTGGCTCCTGTGGTGGAGGGACCTTGGGGGCAGAATATTGGTGTTAACTCTCTAATGCTATTGTTGGTGATGACACATTGGACACGCTGGGCTCTGTCCACAGTTGGGTTCAGCAGAGCCCAGTTGTCAGGAGGAGAGCTCATGAAGGGCTGGGCTTCAGGAGGGCACAGGCTAAGCGTGGTGAGCTGTGTGGTCTGAGGTTAAAGGCCACAGGTTAGCCCAGACAGCTCTGAGGTCTGTGAAGCCCACTTGGTAGTCTCAGGCCTTAGTGAAGACTCAAGAATTAGTCAGAAGGTGGCATCACAGATGCTTTCAAAGGAGACATAGCACTCCCGCAGAAAGTCGGGGCAAATGAACCCCTTTTAGTCAGAGGTAACCCTAGATCATCTCAATACCATTAGCCCTGAGATAACTTATACCTGACTGCAAAAGCTCGAGTCGTCAATGTCCACGGAGGTGGGATCAAGGATGTGACAGGGAGACCTCTTGAAAAAGCCAAAGCTCAGTGGCCTGTGAGGCAGGGCCAATGGACAGCTCCCACACTTTAGAACGCTGCTTTGTGAACAGAGAGGGTTGGACAAAACTTCTCAATACGGAGGCGATTGACACTCTGCATTCTGACCTCATCTGCAGCATGGTACCCAGTTCTGGGCACCACTGTTTAGGAAGGACACTGATGAGCTGGAGGGCAGCCAGGAGGGGGAAGGCCTTGTTCTGGTTCTGTATCTATACTTTTATCACCTAGCAAGGAGCCTGGCCCAGAGTAAGTGCAGAACTGAAGCTGGTTGAATTGAACAATTACATGTGTGTGTATGTATGTATGTATGTATGTATGTATGTGTATGTGTATATGTGTATATATGTATATTATGTATGTATGCATGCTATATGCTTACCCTTCTCACTACAATAACAATGAACCACAAATTCAGTGCCTACCTATGCTGACATCAGCTCTTCTCAGCAGCCAGAGAGTCACTACTCCCTTTCCTCCTTTTAGTCGACCTTGGTTCTCTTCTTATCCCAAGTGGCCCAATTTGACATTGTTTTCCCTCTGTAAGTCATCACAAATCCTTTGGGAAGTAGGTGAGGCATAAATAATCATAACTTCTATCTTTCTAGTTTTACGAAGCATTTCCCTTCCAATCTTCCTGGTAGGTGGAGGTGGGGAGAAAGGAAAGAATAGAGAGAACCAGAGAGAAGGGGTAACAGATGGAGGGAGGAAGGCAGAGAGAGGGGAGAGAGGAGGCAAAGAGTGAGTTTAATCAATTCTGGCATTTATCAAGCTACCAGGGAAGCAGGGCTGGAGACAATGACGGCTCATTGTGTTGTCTTCAATGAAAATGGTAGAAATAAATGGGACTGTCATCAAGTTATTGCCTGGCCCATCTGCATTACCAATAATGTGTAGAGAACTGAAATGTAAAAAGGGAGGCAGGGGTATGGAGTTAATTTCTTGTTTATTAGTCAATCAACTAGGAATTATTAAGCATCTGCTATGTGCCAGGCACTGGGTATACAAAAAAAGGCAAAAAGACAATGCTTGCCCTGGAGGAGCTCACAGTCTGTATATAAACAAGACATACCCAAGATGCATTGGGAGTAATCTCGAAGGGAAGGCACAAGACTTCTTGCACAAGGTGAGACTTTAGCTGAGACTTCAGAGAAGCCTGGGCACTGTCCCCGAGCCCAAGATGGGCAAAGGAGTGCAGTTTCTCCTGTTATTTCCCTCTTCGTCCTTTTTTTCCTCCTTCCCTGCCCAGGCTGACTCTAACACTGACCACAGGCCCAGCTCACTCACTCTTCTCTCGCTAATGCTCCTTCCTCAGCCTCATGAGATTCACCTCACTCCCTGTGTGACTCTCACATATTCCTAATGAGTGTCCTGCATGTGAAGGGCCTCCTGTGGTGACTTGGGAGATGGCTGCTGCTGCTATTGATGGACGGTGGACTTGGGCTCAAATCCAGCCTCAGACATTGTCTAGCTGTATGACCCTGAATAAGTCATTTCCTCATCTGTCAAATGAACCTGAAGGCTTCTAAGGCCCTGGCAGAACTTTAAATAATATTGCTGGAGCAGATCAAGGAGATGCAAGGAAGGCCCCCGACATGTTGCTCAGACTCCTGAGCCCCTCCATGGTGCTCTTCGGAAGTCCTAGACAAGATCATACAGAATGAGTAGGCATAGAGGGGCAGCAACCTGCCTCACTGAGAGAACAGCCAAGTTCTCTCATCTTCCTAACATACAGGCTTCTGCTCAGAAGCCTTCAGTGACTCTCTATTACTTCTCAGATAAAAGGCCACTCAGCTACCCCTGCCTTTATAATGTCTTCTTTGATTCTCTGCTCTTCACTGCTTCCCAGAGAAAAGTATTCTCTCCCTCCCCAAAATCTCCTTGAGCCTTTCTCTGGTTCTTTCTCTCCCTATCACATTTCACCTTTCAGATACATTGGGTCATACCCATTAGACTTTAAACTCCTTGAGGGCAGGCACTATATCATCTCTGTCTATCTCCTGTGCAGAGCACAGTGCCTGGCACAGAGTAGGTGCTCAAGAAATGCTTGTTGAATTATCTCATTTGATCTTTACAATGGCACTTAGTAAATATTAGTAATGAGTAATTTTACTAATTAGTCATTAGCCATATTAGTTCATGATAAATATTATACTCATTCTACAGATGATGAAAGTGAGGCACAGAGAGTTTAAATGATTTGTTTGATACCACACAGCTGCCAGGGAGCACAGCTGAGACTGGAATATTCTTGTCCCACCCTTCCTAAGTCGCTTCCCCAGTGCCAACTTGTTGTGATCCTAAAAATGCTATTTACATCTCAGCCGACTGTTCCTGGGGTTGTTTTCAGTGTGATCTTTTCCCCTCAAGTCCCACAATGAAATGGGAGATCTCCATGCTCCAGGGGACCCAGGCAATAGTCTTTGCTCACTGGGACCCATGTTTATTCCATTCTCTCGGGAGACGCGACATGAAAGTTTATGCATCATGTCCACGTCCTTTTGCTTCTCTCTGTTTTTCCTGGGTCCCTTGTTTTTTGATCTGAGATTGCCTCCCATCAGCTCCTCTCCTGCAGCTGTTCCAAAGAAGCTGGCCAGCTCCAAGTCCCTATATCATCCTCAGCCACAGACAGGAGGTTTAAACTTACAGCCTTTATCTTTTAAAGATTCTTTGAGAGGCTAAACCGCTCCCAGTTTGGGCTTTATTAAGACAAATCTAGGCTAACAGCTTCCATGGCCCTTAAGTGTGATGGAAATTCCAGGCCCACGGAAGGTTTCCATAGCAGAGCCCCGGCTTCAAAGAGTGGGGACTTCTCTGCCATCTTATTTATGTGGCATTTTTATTCCTAATTATGGTTCATCACCGCTGTTAATGCTTAGCAGTAGAAGAGCAAATGGCCTTGTACCGTCATCTAACATCAGCCTTTAACAGGCTAATAAAGCCAAGGTCTTTCCTTCCTTCCTTTTCTCTTCCCCTCCTTCCTTCTTTCCTCCCTTTTCTCTTTCCTCCCCTCCTTGCTTCCCTCTTCCCTTCTTTCCTCTTTTCCTTCCTTCTTTTCTTCCTTCCCTTCTCTCTTCTTTCTTCCTCTCCTCCCCTCTTTCCTCTCTTCCTTCCTCCCTTCTTTCTTTCCCTTCTCCCTTCCTTCCTTCTGTCCTCCCTTCCTTTTCCTTCCTTCCCTTCCTTCCTTTCTTCCTTCCTTCTTTCCTTCATTCCTTCCTTCCCTCTTTCCTTTCTCCCTTCCTTCTTTCCTTCCCATCTTCCTTTACTCCTTCCTTCCCTTCCTTCCTTTCTTCTTTCCTTCTTTCCTCTCTTTTCCTCTTCCTTCTTTCCTTCCTATTTTACTTCCTTCCTCACTTTCTTAGAAAAAAAGTCACATTTTCAGAGATTTGTTCATATCTTCTGCTGCTGTCATTCACATACTGGACCCAGAAAACCTGGAGAAGGTCAATGGACATGAGAAGGGCCTCCTGTGCCTCTTGCTCTCACCCAACCATCACCTTTAAATCATCCTTTATTTGAGCCCAAACAACCCTGGACCCAGGACATAATTAACACATGCCAGGCTTAATCAGAACAAGTGTAATTTATTATTGGGATACTAATGGAATCAACTAAATGTTACTTACCATTGTGAATAATGGAAGGCCTCTGGTTGGGCTCCATCGAATTGTTATTCTTGGATCCCAAGAAGACAGCCAGCCTGCCCGGTGTGTACGTAAACAAAGAAGACAAATGGCTAGAACAGGAATGAGTTTTCCGTAACCTGATTAAGGCATAAAAGCTGGCTTGGAGGAGAACCTCACACAGCTTAATGATTCTGTGGCTTTGCCTAATGTGCCTAATGTTCACTCTTAAGTAAATCAAGAAAAATGTGGAGAGGTGACGGGTATTTGGCGCTGTCCATGGTGGGCCACAAAGTTTCCTGACAATGAGAGGCTGTAGATGTTGGGGGACATAAACCCAGAGCCAGAACTACAAAGCTGTACCTGGGGCGAATGCAGGCGGAAGAGTGGTCCCCAATGGGGGTGCAGCAGGGCAAAGGATAGTCCAATGGGGAGGAAAGACCAGCAGGGGCATGGAGGACCCAATGGCAAAGAGGAAGCATAGACCTGCTCCTTCCCCGGAAAGAATGCACTCCCTGAAAAGAAAGCCTGCTCCACCCCATGTTAGTGCTCTAGGTCAAAGCCCCATTCTCCCCATACTAGTTACAGTTTTCCTGGAATTATGCAGAAGCCCATTTTCCAGACTCAATTATGTCACCTTTTTTTCAAAATCAGTCCACCTTATTCCATCACTGAGTTGTAAGACTACATCCAAGAGGGGGGAAGGGCACTCCTAGTTTTTCTGAAACTTGAAATGATAAAAATAACTGTGATGGGGCACAGGTATTTCACAGAACATTTTTCAGGTGTGGTTTTGTGTTTTGCAACAACAACTACCAAAAACCCCTCCTAATCCTTTCTTCTATTATTTGGAGTTACGATCTGAGTTCAAAATCCCAGTTCAGCTATTTGCTACCACTGGGTCCCTGAAGAATTCATTTCATTCCTGCAGACTTTTTGTTTCCTCCTTTGTAAAATGAGATGATAATAACCCCAGCACTACACAACCCCCAAATGTGGGGAGGACCAAACAACAAACTGTCTGTAAAGTGCCTGGACAGCCAGCACACATATAGCCCTGGAGGTTTGTGAAGCATCTTATTTGCCTTATCTCATTTTGTATATATTATCATTTTATGCTCCTATCATTATGTATCATTTGTATCATTATATATACATATTATTCACTTTATATATATATATATACATATATTATGTTATTATTTACAGTTACATATTATTCCATTTACGTGTAGTATCTCCATAGCACCTACCCCACAACAAGCCTGTGAGATAGATGTTATTATGATCCCCACCTTAAGATGCCACATAAAAGGTAGGTATTATTTTTGTATCTCCCTGATAAGGAGGGAGAAGCTCAATGCCTCAAACACAGTAAGTGCTTAATGAATGCTTGTTAGGTTGAATTAAAAATAGCCAATCCAATAGCCCTTAAAACAGGCTAATCCAGTGACTTACCCATAATCCTTCACTGGGAATCCCTTATGTGTCACTGTAAGAGTCCGTAGGCAGAAGGGACAGTGCCAACCAAAAGAAGCATTTCAACTTCCCTCCTGAATGAGGAACAAACTTTGAAAGGGTGCTATTAGTCATTCAAAAGTTGTTGTCTTTCATTTAGGGTAGGGTTGGGGTCTGAATCTGTGATTTCACTGGTATAAGGAATTCTCTGATGAGGAAATTCCCACTACCAATGCAGGTAATGCATTCTTTAAGCCTTCTCATGTCAGAGCAGTGACTTGCCCAGGGTCACACAGCCAAGTGTCAGAAATGTTGCCTCTTAAGATAAACAGGATAAGTAAAATATTCAGGTTCTCAGGGCTTTGTTTTGATGACTTTGGAAGACATAAGGAAAAGCCTTTGAGATCTAGAATCATAGAGCATCCAGCCCAATCCCTTCATTTTACAAATAAGGAACTGAAGCCCAGATGGGGAAGTTACTTGCCTATGGTCACCAAAGTAGTAAAAAGCAGATTTCAAACTCAGATCCTCCAACTCTATATTTTTCCACTATTTC